TCATGCCTGCTGCTGCTCCTCTGGCCCATAGCCTGCGCTCGCCCTGTAAGTACCCATGGACAGGTACTCAAACCCCAAACCCCAGTGGTTTTGCCCATCCAAGGCACACCGGTCACTGATCAAATCTCTCCTGGATGTGTTTAGGTGCCTGGCCACGAGCCTGCCCGCTCCCACCGCAGCACCCAGCAGCAGGTAAGCCATGGGGTGCCCTGGTCCCACAGGCAGCATGCTCTTAGGGCAAGGGATGGGGAGCCAGCCCCAGGCAGGCATCCTTGGACCAGGTGCCTGGGGGAAGAGCTGCTGCTTCTGTGGGTCTTTGAACTTTGCCCATCTGCTCAGTCTTCTCAAGGCTGGGTTGGTTTCACCTCATTTTGCCTTGTTTCCTTGTACTTATTCCCACTTCACTTCGTGTGTTCTGCTGCACTGGTCTTGAAACAGGAGTTTCTCTGCTCTGAACTGTCATGGTTTGGGCTTTCCTGTGTTGCCCTTTTATTGGTGGCTACTTTTTATTTGCATCAGCAGAAACAACCAAAGGGTCAGGGTGGAAGCAATAAGAAAAGGCTTGAGTACTTGTATGGCTTAGGACTGATACATCATCCCATAGCAACAGCAGTAAATGTACAATGGTGTTTAATAAACCAACGCACTGTGCCATGTTTTGGCTTCAGGACACAGCAAATGAAGATTACATCAACAAGCTGGGCAACCTCCTGGATGGTGAAGATGGCAGACATCCTCCTGCCACTGGGGAGACAGGGCACAATGCCGTTGATGGAGACCCAGCAGTTGGGAACGCTGTGGGTGAGGAGCTGGACGAGCATGGTAGCCGAGACAAGGGAAGCAGAGCTGGGGAGGCTCAGCACCTGAACCAGGTGGACCATGAGGATCCAAGTGCCCGGGATGGGAACAGCCTGGGTTTCCTGGTGAGTGAGTGGAGAGGGGTGTTCTGCTCTGCCAGGAAAGAGCACATAGCCCGACATCTGGTCTCGGTCAAGGCAGCACTTGGCCTGCACATTGAGCAGTGCTGGTAGTGCCTGTGACCGCAAGCCTTTGCATTCATCTCCATTTGTCACCTCCATAGGAAGAGGATGCACGTGATGCTGATGATGGTGACAACGGAGAGCACCATGGCACTGGAGTCAATGGGCTTCCTTCCTATGGTGGTGGGCTTCTGGAAGAGGAGGACGACAGTGGGGATGACACCTTTGATGAGAATGGGGAAGAGGACAGGGGTGAAGGTCCTACCTACATGGCTGGTCCTGATGGAGCAGGCGAACATGACCATGATGCTGGCCATGGGGACGCTGGTGCTGGTGGAGGGCACGGCGACAGCAGCAGCAGTAGCAGCAGTGAGAGCATGGGGGCAGACCACCGGCAGTACAGGAACTACCTCGGCAG